ATGGATGGATGATGGATGGATGGATGGATGGATGGATGATGGATGGATGGATGGATGGATGGATGAACTTACGGCCTTAGCTGAGATCTTGATGTCTATCTTGGAAGCAGGGACATCAGCATAATCTCGTGAACATCCGTACTCCTCGGCTCTGGACATCGTTTGCTCATCCGCTGCACTTCCTGCAGATTGCGATTATATCCGTTAACGTTGTCATGGTTACTTTGCGAATTGTGTTGCTGTAATAAATCAAACCATGTGTGAATAGGACCTTCTGGGTGCTTGTAGGTTCTTGTGATGTCCTCGGATGCCATCATGCCCACAGCTTTAGTTAACAGGACCTTTCCAACGTATTCTGTGTCCACCTTGTATGGAGTCAGGTTGCCGTAGCGATCACTTCTCATAAAATGGACGTCACTGTTAACCTAGAAGAAATGCAGTCAGTCATTGGGTCACTTTCAGTTCTTAGGTAGAGTTCCAGGCTGAGGAGCAGGGAGACCACACGGCTTTACACAGCAGAAATGTTTTAGGTAGAAGTTACAACCGGAGCTGACTGCTAGTCACAGGCAAAGATGCACAGCTCTCCTCCTAATACAAATCTATTATTATATATTTTAGATTATTAATTTACATAAAGTTTTATTCATGTAGCATCATAAAAAAAAACTTCAAGGCATTTTACACAGTCGATGGATGATCTGGTGAACTATAAAGCGCCTTGAGATGAGATGATGTGAATTGGAGCTATAGAAATAAACTGAATTAAATTTAATTAATTGTTCCTAAATTAAAAATATATAATAAAAAGCTACCAATAATATATTAGGGATAATTGTTTCATGCATCTAAAGTCAAATTAAAATGTTCCTTTTTAAAATATTTCTCTATTTAATTTACAAAATTCGGGGCATTTCCGGCTCTCCATACATATACAGTCAGCTTCAGAAGTTTTGCTTGAGTGACGTTTAAATTTGACGTTTAACAGTTGATATTTTTGGAGTTTTTCCTCCCTACTGTCACTACAAGCATGCTTGGTGTGAGGGATTGCTGACGCAGCTGGTTAGATAGAAAACTTTGAATCAATCTGACTGGATGATCTGGTTGATCTGCATCTATAAAGTGACCTGAGATGACAGGATGTGAATTGGAGCTANCAATCTGACTGGATGATCTGGTTGATCTGCATCTATAAAGTGACCTGAGATGACAGGATGTGAATTGGAGCTATAGAAATAAACTGAATTAAATTTAATTAATTGTTCCTAAATTAAAAATATATGATAAAAATCTACAAATAATCTATTAAGGATAATTGTTTCATGCATCTGAAGTCAATTTAATGTCCTTTTTTAAAATATTTCTCCATTTAATTTACAAAATTCGGGGCATTTCCGGCTCTCCATACATATGCAGTCAAATTGAATCAGCTTCAGAAGTTTTGCTTGAAAGACGTTTAAATTTGACGTTTAACAGTTGATATTTTTGGAGTTTTTCCTCTCCACTGTCACTACAAGCATGCTTGGTGTGAGGGATTGCTGACGCAGCTGGTTAGATAGAAAACTTTGAACCAATCTGACTGGATGATCTGGTTGATCTGCATCTATAAAGTGACTTGAGATGACAGGATGTGAATTGGAGCTGTAGAGATAAACTGAACTGAATAGAATTTGTAGATTAACCTGGGATTGCTTATAGCCCTTCCATAACTGTTTACAGTTCTATTAATTAAAGCCTTCTGGGTTTTGTTACAAATGACTTAGAAATGATTCTACTGCAGTCTAACCTCAGCAAAGACGAAGCCCAAGTCAAACGGGAAACACAGCTCCCCATCCCGGATGGCGATGACAGGGGCCGGACCGCAGCGGTAGTAACCTGGAACGCAGGAGGACATAGATGAGTCAATCACTCCTTCCACCTGTGGGTTTAATGTTTTCATCTGCCATACCATCGCTGGTCTCCTGGGGCGTGGCGTCCACCACCTGCCATCCAGAGTACTTTGGCGGGAGGTCAGAGCGCTTTATAAAGACCTCATTCCAGACGTGAAAGTTCCTGAACAGAAAACATCCAATGTAATGCACTGTGATAGAAGTAGACCTAAAGTATTAATATTTTGGTTTGTTCCCCAAACCAAAGGCTTGGTTGAAGTCAAACCGTGAGACTTTACTGCTATTTCTGTTTTGACATCCAATAACGGGGACTTTGGACCAACCAGATGGATTCGACGGTCCGTTCTCGGTCAGGTGTGTCATCCATCTTGAAGACGAGCTCAGTCCTGAGGTTGCCGTTGTTATCGTGGGCTGAGTTGAAGTTGGAGACGACCCTTGATGGGATCCCAAGGCAGCGTAGGACTGAGGGCAGGAAAAAACGTTTCACATACAGAGATCCTTCTAGATATGTTAGCTGCTAAGCTACAAACTTTAGATAAATATACATCTAGAATCTATTTCTTGCTATTATTCCAGCTGTATTCAGACCATTTTTTAACACTTAACTTCCACTTTCAGTTAATATTTAAAAACATTTTCTAAATTCTTTTGGCTTTTGAAAAACATCCAGTTCTTACTTTCCTGTAACTTTACATATTTCTTCCCTTTGAAAGTCAGCGGTTTGCCTTTAACCAATATATCAACTGTTAAGCTTCAGTTTTAAACGTCATAAAAGCAAAACTTCAGCAGCTGCTACAGTTTCACTGCAGATTGTATGGAGAGCTGGAAATGCCCCGAATTTTGTAAATTCAATAGAGAAATATTTAAAAAAGGGACATTCTAATTTGACTTCAGATGCTTAACATTATTATCCTTAATATATTAAATTATTGG